CCAGTGGTCACTGTCTTCTGTAGTTAAAAGCTCATTACCAGTCTCTCTGGGAAAAAGCTCTAGTAACTGAACTCCACACAGGTCAGGGACTGTACTCAGCTTTTTCCTCAAACCTCATTTTATTAAACTCATCCAGGGAGGTAGAAATTATAATCCCATGTACAGATGAAGAAAGTAAGGGTCAGAGAGGTTCTCTGCCTTACTCAGGGCCCTCAAATAATAGTAACAAGGGCCAGTACTTGAACTCTGAACATTTCAACTCCATAGCTCTTTATCCTTCCCTTTCTATTTTCTTTGCAATGCTCAGGGGGTCAAAAAAACAAACAAACAAAAACACACACACACACACACACACACACACAAAATCAAGAACACTCTCTATCCCTACAGATTGTGGGTAATTGCCTCTGATAAGCAATAACACAAAGTATTTTTTGACAAAAACAGGACTCAGGACAAATACTAACCTGTCACTATTCTTTAATTAGTCAAGTTGAACTAGCTAAAGAGCATTCTTAATTTCCTTATTTATACCTTCTGAATTCAGAGGGATCAGACTGCTGTGCAACAGGCCACAAAACAAAGCAATTCATATGCATATGTGGCTGACTGTAATCATGCAATGTTTAAAAAATTTTTGAACCAACTTTCTCAAATATCAGATTCCACATAAATGTACACATTATATGACTTATCTTGGACAATCAGAAGGTCCCACAACCCTAGGTCCACTTTTACAGCAAAGTGCAGCCAGAGCTTAGTGGTTCCTACTACCCTGGATGAAGCATGGACTCTTTGAGTTCCCTAATTCCCCATTTGCCCTCAATTATGCCTACCTGCTAGGGCCAACCACAACTGAAATTTTTCATTATGATTATTCTGTTGCTTTTCCTGGAATAGAGAAACATTTCCCCAAACTTTGTCTTTTTTGATAGATTGAATGATTGGTCTCAATTTTTTTACCCATCCTTGTATCTATCCCTTTACAGTGTTCTCTGCCTGTAGAGCGAACTTTCCAAACTTGGCTCAGCCAATGAAATGGGGTAGAAATCACAGTGTCAATTCAAGACTAGGCCTTCTGATACTCTGCATGTTTTACTCTGCTACTATCATTAGAACTTTCCTGGGTCACTGATGCTTCCTCAGCTTGAGTTATAGAATGAACGAACATATGTGAAACAGAGCTGCCCTAACTTCCCATGGATGTGCATTGAGTAGCAGAAGTGCCCAACAAGGCCACCCTCCAGAAATTGAGCTGCTTGGTCAACCTGCAAATCTGGTGGAATAAGTTACTACCACTGAGTTGGTTGTAAAGTAGTTTTGGAGTGATGGTTACATAGCACTGTGATGGAATTACTAACTGATATGTTTCTACCAAAAGTAAAAAAAAAAAAAAAATGGCTGAAGGAATCAGATATTATTTTTTTCACATGTTTCTTATGTTAACAATGTAGACGTTTAAGGTATTTGAGTTTGCAACTCCTGCCATAAAACTGTAAACTTAAGAAAGAAATAAAGTAGGATTTGCAAAATGTTTCATATCATGACTATCTATCTAGGGCTGACAGAGCTGGCCCAGTTTCTTCCTACTGCCATCATGTTCTACTTGAAACAATAAATAGCATGGTCACTCTATCATTCAACTTGTTCCCAATTTCCATGCCAACTAGTTGAATCTCTTTTAGCTCTCCTTTGAAGCCTAATCCAATAGCTATTATTTTTGTAGGCAATACTTTTCCTGATATTTTTATAGTTATAATACCATTTGGTTGGTTGAAATCATAAATTTAGGGTATCTGATCATTACAAATCACCAGTGATGAATAAATCAAATTTAGCAGGTGCCAAACGTGTAACCACCAGCCAAACAACTAACCAGACTAAATCCTAGTAGACTGAAACTTAAAGGGATTAACAGGCAAACTTATAAACAGGAAGTACTTAAAACAACAGTAATATTAAAAGCCAAGGGCCTCCAGAAAGTTCAGTTCTCAGAAGGTAATAATTACTGCATCTGAGCACATCTGCTTAAGAATCCATTCAAGTGGGAGGTTCAGTCTCTATTAACCTTAACCAGAGACATTTTCATCAAAATTAATCGTGATTACTTTTTATTGCATTTCAAATGTTATCCTTTGTTTGGGGTGGTCAGGAATGCAACTAAGCAATTCCAGACCATGCTATCTTTTATGAATAGGTCTACGAGGTAGTTATCAAGGCTCCTTATGAAAATATTGCTATGTGAAAGTTCACGGGCCAAAACAAGACATTAATTTCCATAACTAGATGGTCCTTAGAAGAGAAAAAATTACTATATATAGAAAAGACAAAGAGTTTGATGCTTAATGCCTACCCAAGTATAACTATGTAAATATCCTGCATGTACTAGACAACTCTGTTTAAATGTTTCTTTCACCTTTCCCTGTGATTATAAGAATGATCATCAATACTTATTCTGAGCATAGCCTATGCCAAGTATAATTCTAAATTCCTCATATACATTTAATTTGTAGCCCTCAGAACAACTCTGCAATAGATGTAATTATTATTCCTGTTCTACAAATGGGGAAACTGAGATGTTGGGAGGTTTAGTGACATTCCTAAGGACACTCAGTGAATTCTAAAGCTTGGAGTGAAACTCAGGCATTTTAGTTCCAGAGTTAGTTAAACAAAGATAAGGACAATGCTTACCTAACTGAAAACTGCACCCCAATCACTTGATTCATGATATTTTGTGCCCGGATTATACCATGCTCTATCAACTTCTGTACCTTTTCCGATGGTTCTCTTTCCTGGAGGGCCTTCCCTACCACTTGTCTCTCCCATCTCAAACTCATATGGCTCAAATTCCACCTGATCCATGAAGACTCAGTTTTCCTGCCTTCCTAATTCTTCAGAAAACTCATCATCTAATGATAGTCACATACAGGTTTAAGTCCTGGGCCTGCCACTTATTAGATAAATAATTTTGAAAGTTATTTTATCTCTCATGGTCTCCTTCTTCTAATATACCAAATGGGATAATAATTGTTCATCTACCATATAACGGCTGCAGTGGACCTCTGTAGTTTTATCTGCACAGAACCCTTTCAGATACCAGGACTTATTTTTCTCTGTGGGAGGTCATCTGTCTCCACTCTTAGCACATAGGATTTAGATGAAGCTGACCCCTTCCCCTTAGGCTCCTCATGATCACATGGCCTGAACCTGAGCTGTCAATTTATATGTCCTAATCTCAAAAGCTTGTTAGAACTACTAGAGCTACTTTCCTTTGTCCTGGAATGATTACATTCTTCGGTGGTAGGCTGGCTGGTGTTGGGCATTATTTGTGGAAAGATTTCCTGAGGATCCCAGGCAATAAAGATCAAATCATCCTCCAAGTAGGAAGGAAACATATTATTGATGTCACTGTTTGGAAATCTGAATTCAGTCAAGATGAAAATCTTTCCCTGGATTTTGCAGTGAATTAATGGATTTTTTTTTCTCTTTCTTAATACAGATTGTGTTTTGTTCCTGTCGTTTGCACTCAGGAGTCCTGACTGACATAAAACTGAAATGGGATAACAGCTACTATACAGTACCTAGCATAGTGTCCAGCATATTTCAAAAATGGTACCTACCACTATCACTTTTTTCTCTGCATTTGTTTTTGGAAAGCAGGAAAGCCTGGAGTCAGGTCTACCTTCACCCTTTACTAGGATGTCACTTCAAAACTTTTCTGGGACACTAGTTTTACCACATGCAAAATCTCCAACATTGTTATAAATGAAAACATGCTTGAAAAAAGCAGGAAAATATTCTACAAATTTTAGTTATTATTATCTCAATTTTTAAGCTCCAATTTAATATCTCTTATCAGAGATTGGGAAACTAAGACCCAAAACCCAACTCTTGATTTGTCAAGAGCATTGAAGAAGCTGTGACCTCAAGTGAACATGATCCATGCTAGGGTGACCCGAGCACTCAATAGAGGATCTGATCCTAGTATTGTGCTATTGTGTAAAAACTCCAATTCAAACACACATGCAAAGGGAGCTTATATGACACCATTATGCCATGACCAGGACACAGAGAAAAAATAAATTAATGTTGACTAAATAACCTCCATCTGCCACTTGTTTCCTTGTATTTCCTACTCTGGAATAATTATTTATTTCTCTTTTGGTCAATTAAAAAGATGAACTATGAGTACATATTGAAATTATATAACTTCTTCTATCTCCAAGGAGGAAACCTAATATATAACTGAAGAAAGACACTAATTAATAAGCAAAATTTAACATGAACAGCAGCCAAGTCGAACTCGAACTGCTCTGTTTAAAGGCACACTGGAATAAATAAAGGAACTTCAAAGCAAATGCCCTGTGTTAGCTTGAATGTCTTATTGAGCATATGGGAAGAACTCCTTTGCCAAAAGTAAGGATGGTTAATGAGGAAAAATTGTTGTTTTCAGTCAGTCGGTTGGTTTCTGAGACAGGGATGTCACTGAGAGATAACTATATTCATGGAGAAAACAGACTAATGATCTATCTCAGAGCCTCAGAGTTTTGAGCAAAATAAAACCAGTTTTGTAAACTGTCTGAGATCAGAGGAATGCATCCTTTCTCAAACACCTCCATGATAATGCACATACGTTTCCCTTCTACTAACCCCAAACAACTTAAACATAAATTTAAAAAAAGGAAGCCATTTCTATGTTTTAAGATTCTTGCCAAATATAAAAAAGTAGCTCTTACCTTTTAAGGCGAGGTACAGGAACCATCAGACTCTGCATAGCATTTCTAAACTCCATCATAAGCTGCTTTCTTGGGCACCATTTTGAAAATCATGCTTCATACATGGAAAGACCTCTCAGGTCCCTGGGAGTATACTGATAACTCTGATCTCAGAGCAAAGGCAAGTTTACCATTTCTCTGCATATTTTCCTGTAGCAATGGCTACATTCCAGAGTCAGTTAGTCTCCAATTATTTAGGGATTAAGAACATAAACCCAAGCTTACCTGCAAATGCTGTGAGTTGTCAGCCATGCTATCTTCTCGCCTGCGAACTTCTTCCAATAACTGGGCATTCTTCTTCTTTTCCAGCTGTTGATTGTGTTTGAGATTGGCTACCTTCTTATTCTGATCCTTCATATGCCTGAGAAAAATCAGCACAACTTGGTTATATTCAACTACTGAAAAGCAAATGTTGTCAGAACAGATTTATTACTAAGAACAAATTATCTTGTGTGGACTCAGAAAAAAGCCAGGACCTCAGAATATTCTGTTCATTCAACTACAAATATGAATTGAGTTTTAGGTGTCAGGATGATAGTGGGGCTTCAATGCTGAATGGGACAGGTCTGCAGCTTCACGGAGTTTAGAGTCCAGAGGGCAAGAAAGACAAGTGCCAAGGGGACACAAATTATGGTTTCTAATGTTTAAGGAAACAAATAGCATGCTGTGAGAGATGATGATGTGAACAGGTGTTGGGGGTGGGAGGAGATGAATTTAGACATTGTTGAGTCCATGGACGGTTACCCTAAGGAAAAGAGACTGTGATTGAGACTCAAAGGAGCTAACCAAGAGATACATGAGTAAAGGAGCTCCCCAGGTAAAGAGAACAAATGCATATGCAATTCCCAAGATAGGAAAGAAGTGGATGCTTCAAGTAATGGGAGGTCCGCAGGGAGGGCAAGACTGCAAAGGTAGGTGGGCCTGGCACATGGGGCCCTGTGGTTATGTGATGGGACATTTATTTTCTTCTAAGTGGTTTCTGTTCTAATTATTATTATTCTTTTGGATCATGTTCTTATTCTGAGATCATAATCCATTACTCTGATTTTAAAATAACAATTACAGGGCTCCAATCAAATACACTGTCAACACTTAGCTCAAACAGAATAACAGCTTGGCTAATCATAATGTTAAACAGAGCCCTGGTGCTTGGACTAAAAGATCTTAATGAATCTATAGGATGTCAAGTGTAAAATCATAAAGTGATCAAGTGAGTTAAAGACTAATAAAGGACTGGTTAAAAATAAGAAAACAGGAGTTACAGGCTTAATGTGGACTATTTCACCAGCAGCATTTAGCAAAACATTCCACAGATTTAGGCAACCATGTCCACAGCAGCTGTTATAAATCTAATCCAACACATGAGGAGGCAGGAGGGCAGCAGAGAGAGCTTGGGAGCAGTGATTCCAAAGAGCCCAGTCATTTGAGGTCCTTCTTAATCCCTTCACCCCCATCTCCCCAGCACTGCTACATCAGTCACTGTGACTGAGCCCTGACTCTGGAGACAAGTGTATGGAGACCACTGCTCTTTTGAAAATATAAACAAGATGAGAACTAGATGATAAACAGGAAACGTGTCAAACTGAAACAATTAAAAAGAAAATAAAAAGCATTCTCCATAAGAAACTCTTTATTTCCAGTCCTCATAAAATTATGCAGTCCCTACTCCCTCCCACCCCAAGAAAATGAAGTTCAAGATAACTGTTTACCAAGTGGAACAATCCTCTATCAGGACTCCTGCTAATAAGTAAAGTCTGAACACTTGGGCTCATTAAGAAATATTTCCAGTATCAACTGAAGCAGTGATATAAGTGTTTTCAGTGGACTTAGGAGAATATGGGCAAAATCAAATAATCCTCTCCTTGGTTCCTATTTGTACTGCATAATTTTTTTTTATCTTCTCTACTGTTGCTCAACACAGTGGTGCACATGGATGAAATCACCAACTCAATACACAGGTCTGCTTTCAGAAAATTATTTTTTGATTACTCTAAAGATGTTAGGAATGACCTCTTGCTTCCTAATTGAATGAGGATAGTATTTTTAAAGCTTGCCTTGAACAGGGAAAGCACATTTTCCACTTACTTAGGAAAATATGGCCACATCCCAGAAATAGGATATGATAAAGAGATCATATGGTTAGTGAGATTGCTTAGAGGAAATTTTATAAAGAAATATATTTTATTTGTTTAGATCATACCATCAAATAGAACCAACTGCTAAATATCTCTCCTTTCACCAAGTGCCAGTGACAAAATAAAATGGATCATCATTAGAAACATCATTTGCATAAAGAATCCCAGGAAGTTCTCAAAGCAGTGTGAACACTCAACCTTATTCTCAAGGATACTCCAGTGTTTTTCCAATCCAAAATGAAAACAAACAAACAAACAAACTTCAAGTCCATGTGTTCCTTAAAGCTTTCCTGAATTAAGAATGAGAGGCTAAAAAAAAACTGTCAGTTCTGACACTTTTTCAGCATTTCCCAACCATTTCTTTCTTTATTTATTTCTTTGTTTTTGTTGTTGTTATTGTTGTTTTGTTTTGTTTTTTTAGTTGTAGATGGACACAATACCTTTATTTTATTTATTTTTATGTGGTGCTGAGGATTGAACCTAGTACCTCACACATGCAAGGCAAGTGCTCTACCGCTGAGCTACAACCCCAGTCCTCCCAAGTGTTTCTTGAGACACCAGGAATTGATAAAGAAAAGTTGTGTTTTGAGTAGTACTGCTTAGGATGTGGCCAATTAGGATAAATACAGAACAAGGTGATCAGAATCATCATTTTGTACATGTGACTACCAATAGCTACCTATCAAGTACACACACTCCTTTGTGCTTCCAACATATTTCTGAGACTTTTAAATATCCCTAGCAGTCAAACCCTTTTTATTATTGCTGTATGTACATAGGTGATTGTATGACCAATGTGATTCTGCAACTTGTACAATCAGAAAAATGAGAAATTATACCCCATTTGATTCAAATGTATGAACTGTCAAGATCATTATACTGTCATGTGTAGCTAATAAAAAAAAAGCATCCTTGAAAACCAAAAAGGGAATGAATTGATTTGCAGAGGTAGACACGAGGCAAGGGATGGCATGGCTAGGGTAGGGAATAGTGAGCAAATACTGAGCAGAGCCTTAGCTACTAAATAGCCCTTCTCTTGGTTATCCCTCAGGGAAACCCTAATGTTGTCTGAAGCAGAGGTTGAAATGGCAATTTAGCGGGGAGGCAGATGAGGACTCAGGAAATTTTAAAATATTAGATCTCTTTGCCTTTCCCCAAAAGCCCAGTGATACTCAGTGGAAAAAAATGACCACAGGGACTTCCTAGTAACAACCTCAGCATTTCCAATAATGAAATTTGCAAGTGACCTATTAGGCTCTATATCTTTCCCCACCTGCAGAAGTAAACCCACACTGAATAAAATCAACATGCCAAACTTAATACAGTCCCTAGCTATCTCCAAAATCCAGTAGGGCTCTAGCAGTGTAGACGACAGCACTCTCTTGCTGTATTGCCCTAGAGGAAACTATCATTTGTACCTCTTTCCAAACTCCCACTCAGTTAGCAAGTCCGGCAGTTCCAAGCTTCCACCCAAAACTGATCTGCTTCCTGTTTGGGGGGGGGGGGGCAGGCATTCTTTGGAAGGAATTTTTCTCCAAGGAAACATCATTAAAAGCATATCCAAAATGCAAATTAAAATAATAATAAAAGCAATGATTGGGGAGGGGATAGTTGAAAAATATGATGGTAAAATCAGTGTTCAATGTTTGACTTAAACTGACTAAGCTTTATGAAGCAGTTTCATAAAACAGGTTATGTCACTTTTCAAAATTTAGCCACCATTAAGGAATTTGAACAAAATTAAAAAAAATTCCAACATAAAGTCAACAATGGATCAGAAAGAATGCCAGAGAGAACAGACTTTAGCTATTTTCACTAGAGTGATCTGTCAAATTAAAGTTAGAAAATGGTCTCTAACTTGCTGGTGACACTTCCAGAATTACACTGCTGGGAGTACTGGACAGTCCTCCAAGGATTTGTGTATATTTTTACATAAAGTAGAAAATAAAAATTTCTTTTTAAATCTCAGCAGAAATAAGATGCTATTACCCATCTGTACTCAAAAACTTTAAAAGATTGATAATATTCATTGTTGGAGAGGATTCAGGAATTCACTTCTCATACATGGGAAGGAGGAGTAGAATTCACAAAAGCATTTTTGGAAACCAATTTGGCAGTATCCACTAAAGTACGCATACCTTTTTCCCAACAAATCCTTCTTCTAGGAAAGAAGCCTGAAAAAATGCTTGCACACATGCACAAATATTTATATAAATACATTTTCATTAGAACTGTTAAAAGTGAAAATTTGAAAAATACCTAACTTTCCATCAGAAGGAAATTGACTGAAAAAAAAAATGTGTTCATAATATGGTGTCAGGCTAGCTTTGAAAATTAAGAACAAATGAAAACCCTTCAAGACATGTTATTAACTGAAAAAAAAAGCAGGTAGCAGAACAATATACATCATCGGATCTTATTCACATTAAAATATAAAAGTTTATTTTTATGTGTATATACTCATATGCATGGAAATCGAAATTTCTGGAAATGCCATACCAGTCTATAAACAATGGTTGACACCAGGAAAGGGAATGGGATTAGAGAAGAAGGGAGCTTTAAGTTTTACTGTATGTGTTTGTGTGTATAAGTGAGGTACAAATACACACAAGAAAATGCATCAATGTTTAATACACAAGGCAATGATTTTTGACCAATCAAAATATAGAGCATTACCATCACCCAGACTCAAGTCCCTTCCCCCTGCTCAGAAGTGATCATTGTTCTAACATTTATCCATATGCCTCTTCTTCAGCTTCATATACATGGAATCATTGTGTCTGGCTTCTTTCACTCAGCATAACATTTTTTCATATATTTTATTGTATATCATTCCATTCCTTTTTTTTCTGTGTAACAGTCCATTGTATGAATATGCTAGATTTGATTACTTATTTCTTACTTGATATTGGGCTTTTTTCTATTTTTATGTTTATAAATAAAGTAGCAACACACATTTTTATACCAGACATTTTGTGGACATATGCTTTCATTTCTTCTGGATAAATAACTTGATGTATGGTTAACCAGAGGTGTAAATGGTACAACCTTTACAGAAGACCACTTCTGGGCTATATGATCCTGCCAGGTGTGGCTGCAGTGCAATGGCTAATAACATAAATTTCTGAACCAAACTGTATGGAGAAGTTTGTCACTTTCTAGCTGTGTGACCACAGACAAGTTCCTTAACTTCTCTATACCTCTGTTTCTTTGCATATAAAATGAG